CTAATTCGTGACTGTAAGCCCCAGTATCCCAACACTGGAGTAGCCAGTTGATAATTAGCTCACTAGGTTGATGGCTGTGATATTCATGCATATCTTGCAGCTCACTCAGGGATAAGGAGCTGGTGATTTCCGTCTCATTTATGATGCCTCTTTCCCCTCTTGATCTTGTGACTGCTCTGCTGCACAACCAGATGCCTGATTCCTCCTCCTGCTTCCTCTTAGGAGAAGCTTCTTCCTCCCTGACTGAATGAGTTGACTTCTGCTTCCATTGTTTCTTCTTGATTATAGGGGTGACCAATAGAGTTGAGAGCTGAGTCTCTGGCTTTAGCCACAGTGTATGTCCTCAGATCCAGAGACCCTCCGCCCCTGCCCTCCAACGGTGCTGGACAGTGCTTGGTAGACACATGAGCACAAGAAGCTGTGTCCCTTTAGCACTGCCAGGTCATCCTTTTCTCAAATACTGTGTTACTTTATCAGGATCCTGCACTTATTGGGGGGTCGAGTCCCACACCATCAGGGGTGAAAACTGCTCTGGATACCTGCCCATATTCTCCCACACACCTTGCCACACTGCCTCAGGGCACATCCCTGTGTGACGTTCCTAAATTGTCAGTTAATCTAAGGAAAAGCTGGAAATAGATTCTTGAGACACACCCATGTGAGCATTCCGATTACCTAGGGACGTTCGAAATACTGAAGAGTCGTTGTCAAGAAGGTGAAAAGCAGCTAACTACCCTGCAGGAGATGAAGGGGAAGGTGTCTGTCTTTGTTTCCTCCGCAAATTGGCTCTCAGCGGAAAAGAAGAAAAAGGTGTAATTGTTAGTTGTCTCCACGAGATGGTTCCCGAAGTACTGGGACAGCAGCAATGCAGAGCCGAAATACCAGATTAGGCTCAGGGCCAGTGCTTTCATCATCGTTCTCCGAGGCAAACCACAACGGAATACTACACGGCACAGCAAACTGCAAAAGCCAAACCTTGCCTTTAACAAGCTTCAGATTTGATGTACAGCAAGAGAGGGAGCATGACACGGAATGAGTAAGGGAACACATAAACCTGCATCAAGAACAAGTAAGTCAGCATCGTGCTCAGCAGCAGCTGAACAGGTATAGGAAGTTCCCTCTGGCATACTCTGCTCAGATACTTTGTTATCTGAACCCTACACTGGGTGCCAAAAAGGATTGCGGTGGGCTCACCCTGGGTGGTAGCTAAAGCACTTCACAGCTACTCACGCCCCACCCCAGTGGGAGGGGGGAGAAATCAGAAGGGCAACAGCGAGAAAATTCGAGTCTTAAGTTAAAGACAATTTAATAGTAAAAGGGGGAAAAAAAAAAAAAGAATTAAAAAAAAAAAAAAAAAAAAAAAAGAGAGAGAGAAACAAGTAATGCAAAAGCAGCCACCACCAGCTGGCTGATGCCCAGACAGTCCCTAAGCACAGACTCCCTGGAGCTGGATCCCCACACCCCATCCCCAGTTTTTATTTCTGAGCATGTCATTACATGGTACAGAACCTCTCTGTGGTCAGTTCAGCTCAGCTATCCCGGCTGTGCCCCCTTCCCAGCCCCCTGCCCACCACCAGCCCAGCCACTGGGTGTCAGAGCGAGGAGGAGAGAAAAGCCCCGCTGCTACGTAAGCACTGTTGAGCAAGAGCTAGAACACGAGTGCGTGAGCAACACTGTTTTGGTCACAAATCCAAAACACAGCACCATATGGGATGCTATAAAGAAAATTAACTCCATCGCAGCAAGACCCAGTACATCAGGATAAATCTTTGTCTCCTCCTTACCCTTCCCCGTGACTCTGCTCCTGAAGTAGCCTATTCCGGGCTTACAGCTCAACAGGGATGGTACAGAAGTCATGCAGGTCACTGGACAGCTACCCTACTAGTCGGGTCTTAGCACACATGGCCACCAGGAGAGGCTGACATAGCTGGGGCTGCTCTGGCCAGTAAGAGGAGGCTATCAGGCAATTTAACTGCAGCACACACCTGTAGGATAGGGAATCATGGTAGAGACAGCAGAACCAAACAGTGCTCGGCAGCACCAGATGATAAATAAGAGGCAACAGCAACCAGTTACAGGAAACTTTCACAAGGAAGGTGGAGCAGCACTGGGACAGGTTGCACAGGGAACTAGTGGAAGCTCCATCCCTGGTGGCAACCAAGACCAGACTTCATGTTGGCAACAGTCCACTTCAAATGGGAGAATCGACTACTTTCAGCAGTCCCTTCCGGCCAACATTTCTCTTCTTGGAAGCACCTCATTCCCAAACAACCTTCTTATACAGAGTTATCACAATTGTGGAACTGGAAATGCTCAGCTGGCAGTTAAATGACTTTCCATCACAGAACTACGGAATAGCCATTCCAGCCACCACAGACCTGCTCTTCATAGGAGATGAATCCAGTTTAGTGTCAAAAGCAGTTGGGACCTTCTCCTGTATTTTGTGCACCCACAGAATGGCCCAGCAATACAATACCTGGGATGAGTTCAGAGGAGCAGTTAGTAGGTATGTCTGGTTGAGTAGCTGTATAACTGAAGTAAATGGTGCAAATGACTTCCTCAGCCCTCCCTCAAGACCACAGGCCTCTCTCTCCCCAGCCTCTTTCTGGAGGCAGGGAGGGAAAGGGAATCAAGGAGATAAAAATACAACCAGAACTGCCTTAGGGTTCCACCACTGCTCAGAAATTGTATACAGTGTGAGGAGTACATTAATACACACCAATGACTAACTGATCCAGAGTCTGACATAGGGGTATAATAATTTGCTTGTAGTTTACCAGGAGAAAGCAAGACAACAAAAATTTCTCAACAATTACAGGCAAATAATTAAATATAAGATTACTTGATAATATTGATAAGGGGCAATTCATGTTGATTTTTTTAAATTAAGGTTGAAGAATAGTTTAAGAGCAATCAGAACATTCTGGTGATAAAAATACAAAAAAAGTCATTAATTTTTGCTGATTTCCCTTTATTAGTACAAAGTACAAATAAAAAAATTGTACTTTTATGAAAAAAAAAATAAACCAGGTGTACATAGTTTTGCAGCATGTTTGATATTTATTTCACACAACTGAAGTGAGATGGCTCAGAATATCTCCAGCAGATCCAAGCTTCTTGCAGCCCTAAATCATTAGGAACCAATTATAGAGGTAAGACAAAGAGATGATATATGGCTCCTACTATACGTAAAAAACAGAGCCAAAAAAAGCTGAAATAGGACCCTGGTTGAATTTGGGTATTTCTTTCAAGCACATGTTTTACATTAGCAGAACTTCTGGGAACATCACAGGTAAAAATGAACAGTGGTTTGCTAAGGCTGGTGGTGACTGCTGCTGCCTCGGCTAATCCACACTTCTTGGGGCTCATCTTGTCTCCAGCCATCCTGCTGTAGCAACATAAGTGCCAGAGTCTCAGGAAATGCCAGGGCAGGCATGAGAAAGAAAGTGCAAGCAAGAAGGGGCCTGGTGTTGAAGCCATTCTCCAGAACAAAGTGAGACCCGAGTTCTGGATGCTGCTGCTAACCACAGATTGTGCCTCAAGGTTGCTTATTATACCTATAATATTATGGTTTAATATAGGCATATATTACAGAGAATATTATGTACATTATATGCAGGGTGTATTTGCAGTGTATTTTTAGAGGACAGAGTTTTTATTTATATTTTGCATTCGGTGGAATGCAACACGCTGGTCTATGACAAACAAGCTGTGTGACGGGGGGAAGGAGTGCAGGGGGAGAAGGAGGGAGGGGAGAATTTAACAGAAATAACTCCACTTAGTGTTTGAGTGAGGGATGTAATGAAATCTGTTTGCTGTGCTAGCTGTCTCCAGATTGGGCTGTAATTACACCACAGAAGGAAGAAAGGTAGCTGAGTCTCAATCTAGATCATTTATGTAAACTCAGCCTTCTTGTCAACGGCGCTCTCAGATTGCATGCATGCAAACCACAAAAATCATTTCCTATGAACAAAACAGAGACAGTCTCAAATTGCAGGCTTCTGATACACCTTATATGTTGCCTGTAATTGGACTTCAAAATTCAACACACTGAGGTTCAAAACTTCTCCAGTATTTTCTGCTTTTTATTCAGTGTGGTGAAAGACTGTATGCACAGAAGAACATTCCTTCTTCCTTTCTGCCAAAGGCCAATGTCTAGCCTTACAAATTAACATGTATTTGGCTTAAATGCAAGTGTCACAAACCTAGGAAATAGTTTTGTGTAAGACTCTGTTGAAACAAGCTGCTGGATCTGAGGGAGGTACATTCCCTCCCCCAGAAGAGTTGGAAAAACCACTCTGACCCAGAGCAACATATATACGCACAGTATAAAACCCAGGCGAACAGTTCCATTAACAGAGCCAAATTAATATTGGATTAAATATTTTAAAGCTCCTACTTACCATGCTTGACACATTTTCTCAGCAAGTTTCTCAAACACGGAAAGCATTAGGCACAGGGCAATTTTACATTTGAATACATAAAAACAGTGTGAGGAGACACAACTGCGCGCAGACAGAGAGAGGATTTTCCCCCATTAGTCCCCCAAACTGCCCTTTCCTTTGGTGAGCGGGTACGTTAATTCCCGGCTTCAGCAGCTCGCTCTCCCTGGGCAGGTTCGAGCAGGCTTCCTGTGACACCTGGATCTTCACGCCCCTCCATCCCTCCCTCCGGCAGGAAAACCACCGGCCTCCGCCCTGGCGCCGTCCCCGCCGGTGCCCAATCAATACCGACTTGTTTCCTGTCCATTTGCTGAGGTCACGCAAACGGGACTCATTAATTATTTCTGCCGGTGCAGCCTCAAGTGCGCTTGTGGCACGACAAGTGAGAGCCGGCTCTGACCTTCTTTTAACTCCCCCCTACCAAATCCTGCTGGTGGCGGTGGCAGCCGACGCATCCCTCCCTGGGACGATGAGGTGACCAGCGGTGCGGGGCGCTGTAGAGGTCCCTGCCGCGGTGCTCCCACCGGCGGAGGGAGGAGCTCCTCCTGGGGTGGCGGGTCAGGGAAAGCGGGTCAGGGCGTAGACAATGTTGGCCAAGGCGGCCCTGGCCTCGGAGGGAGGGAAGCGCTCCAGGGCCGCCAGCGCTCGGTTTCCGTGGAAGCGGCAGAGGTCGATGGCAGATGTCACACCTTTGCCGGCCTTGATCGCTCCCTGCAGCTGTCAGGAAACACAGGCACAATAGGGTGGGTTTTGGCAGGGCCGGCACGCACAATTATCTCTGAGAGCACGGGCCTTCCACCACCCCTTCCCGAGGTAAAGGTGAGAACCAAAGCCACCAGACAAAGCTCTGAAACACTCTCATCTGCTCTGTTCTGGCTCCCTGCTACAGCACAACTGTGGGTAGTTTAAACTAGATCACCTATCACTTCACCACCAGAAAGATGCTGGCTCTCCAAAGGGCACACAATTAATAAAAACCAAATACATTTTTAGATATTGGGGCATTTCACACCCAAGCCACTGCCCCAGAGCTTTGTGCAGAACTGGCAGCAGAGCCACTTGCTTGCACTCATTTTCTGCCATCAAAAACTGCATGTTATGACAGCCATTCCACCCCCTGGTTTGGAAACAGGCACAGGATGACACGTGTTGAACTCTTGTCTTTTGTAGTACGGGTTTCTATTTATATACCATATGATTACATTTGGTACAGTGGACAAAAGCAAGTTTTGTCAGTAAAATGGGACATGTTAAATTATCATACTGTGCTATATCCATGCAAATGCAGTCTTCTCAGAAAGGCTAGGGAATTTGACAATGGTTTGGTGATATTCCATGAAAATATTTTCTTTCTCATATGGTGTAACAGACATTTCATGGCAAGCTGCTGGAAAGATTTGGCACCTAAAACACTTGGGTAAACGACAGGTTAAATTTTCTATGAAATAACACAAACAAAAATAACAAACAGAACATGTTGGTTTTTCCCAGTATCTCAGCTTAGCTGAAGCTGTAAATAATAATCACACTTATTAATTAAGGGGTTTTTATTTTTAATTATTATTTTTTCCTGAACAGCACCAGGATACTGTCATGAAACACTGTTACGTTTTCCACCCTAAAATACAGGTGTTCCCAGAGCTGCTCCAGCCTGATGCCTCATACCAGGGCCTGGGAATCAAGACCAGGTGGATCTTTGGGATTTAATTATCCCAAAAGCATGACAGCATTTCATGATCTTTAATGTGTCCCACCTGGCTTTCATAGCTGCCTCAGTGTATCAGCTTTTAAAAGAAGAGCTTTTCTTGAACATAGGTGTCTACAGTAATAAATACGAAGAGTTTTATAATTTATGTTTTCCTCCAATACACAGCCCAATGGCCTGATTAATTTACATCAGTATAACCTTATCAATCCAGTTTAAATCATGTAAAAAACCCCAAAACCTAACCTATGACCAATCTGTAAAAGTTATCCATTTGTTATAGATACTTGCATTCATACAGAATGATGTTTCTTATCTGAGTACAAACTGAAGTGGATTCATTATCTGCATTTAAAGATAAAATTAGCTGGAAGCATATTACAGCACTTGAGTGTTCAAGTCCTGGTTCATAAAAATTTTACTCTCCACTTCAGTGGAGAATCTTCCTGTGCTGTGCTCTGGAAAGGAACTTGCCCTAGGGCATAAATGCACTGCATAGCTAATTCAACGCATCTTCTAAGGAATGGGAATCAGCTCCACAGCCAAGGTGGGGATAGGTGAGATGAGATAAACTAGCAGTGTGAAAAGCCATTTCCTTCCCTTTTCTTGAGGCACAAGTTTGTGAGATGATAGAACCCACATATGTTGAAGCAACCTCTGCTGATTTGCTAGAGCTCATTAAAAAAAGGTATAGCATACTTTGTAATACTCATGTAAGTATATATTGAGATGTAAACAGGAAAGAAAATAGCCCCTAAAATGTCTTCAAACTGTTCTAAGGTCAGAGGAGCTTAGCTTAAGCATGTGTGTTTGCATATGTGTACTTATGACTTACTTTTAACACCAGATCTGGAAGGGGAAGAATTCTAATGCAAGGACACAATCCATTTACACGCTTGTCTTGTGCAGCCCTTAGACACATGCAGTGCCTTGAAGCCAAAACAATCGCAAAGCTTGTGTCAAACTGTATGCAGAAGAATCGCTGTACAAAAATCAGGCTAATCCGCTACTGAATGTTTCCATGCAAAGTTCAAGGAACCTCAAAATGAAAAATACCTGCTCATGTGGCAGGCTCCTTCCTCAGCTTCACAGTTAGAAAAATTAACAATTATAGTCCATTAATGATAAATTAATTAACAATTAATAGTCCATAAAAATTTTGCTTTTTATCTTCCATTTGCAGAAGCAGCTGGTCAACTTAAATACGCATACACTGAGGAAAAGCAGTCTGGATTAACCAGACTGCATGCTACTTCTATCTCAGCTGGGGTTGTAAAAGGAAAGTCAGGGGAAGACTACTACTGGGCTTCTTGTAGTGGGATAATTATTGAAGAAATACAGGATATAATTCCATAGGAAACCAGGCTTCAGTAGCACTGCTACATGCAAAACCCCCCCTAATTTAAGATGTACTGTTAGTTGTATTACATCTACATTTTCATGCTCTCTCTCCTAATTTTTGAGCTTCAATGATTTTATGTAATGAACATGACAAACTAAGTACATAGAAAAAAAATCAATGTATCCAGTTTAGATGTATTATTTTGTAATTTCATTTGGAGAGCAGCAGCTAATTTTTGAGGCAAATAAACAGAAAAGCAAAATGAGCTGCTTTTATTTATTATTTTATAAACTTTAATTAAGCTCCCTCATTAATTTCTTCTAAATAAAGGAATCTGCTCTTTTAGTCTCAACTTATGCGGCATCATTTTGTGCTTCAAACATATTTCCGCTTGTAGGAACAATTTCAGCCATCATTGAAACACAACCTTCTTCAGATTTAATTCAGTAATTACAACTGAATACAAGTCAAAATACAGATTGCTTCAACACACATTTCTTCAGTTGAACTCCTAGCTGTGCTGGACTACTGCATTTTAACTTTTAAGCTTTTGTTCAGACCACTAGCACTAAAGACCTACTTCATTCTAAAGGCACCAAGAGTCTGAAAAAAATCACCCACTGGGTTTTGGTTATTTAAACTCATCTTAAAGAATAGTCTTGCAATAGTACAGTGAAGTTAAGGCTCAGATGAGAAGTGCCACCCCCAACATACCAGCACTGTTTTCCTTCAGCACCTTTTATTTTCCTCAATGTATTCAGATATTGACCAGACTCGACAGGTTTACCTTGTACACATTAAGCTCAGAATCCCAAATTTTTATCTCTGAAGGTGGTTCTATGAATCTAAGAAAAAGCAACAGCAAAATCATTATCTTCATAGCCTGGGAAAAAAGATGCCTGGCTGAGTGCTGGGTCTTGCTCCACCCAGCCTGTTCTATCTGTGCTAAGCTCAACCTCATCCATTTGACATGCAATTAAATTATTTTAATTTTTTTCTCATTTACTAATCTATGGCTAGAAAAAGGCATAGCTCTGATCAAGAGTTACAGAAAGAGCAAAATAAAAGAGATATGGAAAGGAGGGAAGTGCTGAGGTTTCTCATTCCGAATGCTCTGAAAGCACACAGAAGGACAAACTGCTGAGTGAGAGACTGGGCTCTAATTCTCCAGCCTCCTCCTTCCCTTGTCATAATTTCCTTCTCTTTGTCTTATACCAGCAAGTCAAGAGGAGAAAGGGACACTTTCTGAGCCCTTCTAACTTTAAGGCTGCTTTCTACTACCCCCCTCTGCACCCACATGCTCTAGGCACGTCCCACAAATGCATGGTAACAAGCCATTGATTGTTGCTTGAAGACTGTCCTTTGGAAATGAGACTGCCCATTGGAAAGGAGTGTTTATATCAGCACCTTGGTTTCAAGCTTCCATTTCCTGTCTTTCAGGAGACAACCATAAGCACCAAATAGCTGGAGTTGGGGCATTTTCCACTCAACTGTCTGACATTTGCTGGGCCAAGAACAGAAGCAAAACCCAGAACAGCAGCCACTTCCTATGTAAAGCGGGTATCTGGGTTCAAGACCTTAGTCTCAGGGCTGCCTCCACTTCTCACGTTAAAAGCTACTGGATGAAATAAAGGTAGTTTTGGAGCAATGGCCATGTAACAATATATAGTCATTTTGTGGTTCTGGCCCTATGTGTGGGATAAGAGGGATGCTTATGAATGAGAACTTTACTTCCCTGTTCACAGACTTATCCTTCTAAGTGAACCATAAAAGCAAAGAGTATGCCTGTGTGCCACATCTCTCTGTTTATGAGCTACGAAGATGTTAAAACTAAGAAATTATTTCCTGCACTACAGCATGATGTGAATAACAAAAAGAAAACCTGTGCTGTCTATGTCACACCATATATACAATTGTAGTGAACTTGCATTCCT